ATGGACCAGTTATTCACTGAGTTTTTAAAGCGAGGAGAAGAGCTACATGGTGAATCATGGTTTAGCTGCGAAGCTCACTGCAAGTGATCTTTTGCTTTTAAGATCTTTAGGTAGGTTGTTTTCGTACAAAAAATTCATTTCTTCATTGTCAGCAAGAAGTTTTTGCAGTAATGTAATTTTAACTTTGTTTGAAGGAAATCCTACTTACGTGTAGGTTTTTGACAGATGTTATGTATTTTCAACTTGACAACACAAAGCATAATTTATATTTATATCTTAGTACGCGAAACGATCACGTTTAAAAATAAACTATAGTTGCTTTACAACCGATTTTTGGGAAGATTTTACTAGATAAAGATTGACCTTTTTTCTGCCCGCATATCAACGCAATAACTTCTACATTGAGCATTTTGTTTATATTTTAGTTATGTGCGAAACTACGAGTGTCCGATCGAGCGAGGGTTTTAAAATATCAGCTCGAGTGCGACAAGTTCAGTGCCTTCAAACACATTGTGGGCAAGCGTCAATTTTTTTGGGCAAATCACTGTCCAAAGATATGTTGTTTTTGTGTCCACAGTGGAGCTCCGGACCTTATATATCCAGGAACTTCCTTATATGAACACATTTTGTGAATGCATCTTGAAAAAAATCGGACCTACGCATGCACATTTCCAGTACAACGCAAGGATATTGATGTCGTTAAAGTCCGTTTTACTATGAGGTATTCTTCGAGAAAATTAAGTAACGACAAGTTTATAACCACAGCTTGCAACTTTTGAAGACAAATTGCCTGTTCTTTCCAGCTTATGAGTGGAAACATCTTATTTTTAGGCAATAAAATATTTGAAATCCCGCCATTTTTTCAAACCCGGCCAGGGGATCTGGGCAAAAAAGTTCACGCATGCTCATTACGTTTTTCCGCCCTGAAGGGTGCACCGGGGGTGGGAAATTTTGTTCTTCCCCCTTCGTGTAAGTGCCCAATTGTCGCTCTGTTCAAAGTCCGGAATAAATTAACCGATTCGACAGGGAAATAATGATGCTTGAAAGGGAAATAATGAGGGGAATAGGCTAGAGCTGAAAGAATTTCAGCGGATACGAATTTCGGCTTAAGAAAATAGCGCTGCATTTTTGTTGCGACTGGTCTAGGGTCGTGCCAAATCGCAATGACCAGTCTTTGACTTCATCTTAAGCCTGTTTTCCCCTCTCATATCTCTTTGCGTCGGACAACTTTAGCTGCTCATTTTTCTATGCCACTTTTGTCTTACAAGCGACTTTGATAAACTGGGAAAGCTGAATAAGAGAGCTCTAACGAGTGTGCAAGTATATCTGCCCACCGATTAGACCCAGTAATAGCAAATTTCCACCGAAGAAAGAGAAGAAAACCACGCTTTACAACCGTAGACTTCAAAACAAGGCTTTATTGGATTACAAATCATTGAAAACCTAAGGTCCGTGGTGCATTGAAAAAATCTTCCAGTAGGCCATTTGCACTATGACATCATTTTACTATTACGACCAGAATCCTTCAAGGTTTTGCTTTCTTGTGCAAATGAGGGCTTTTGTTATTCAAACCTCACTGGGATAACCAAATTTAAATATGAAAGAAGAAACGAAAAGGATTCTGGTCGTAGAAGTAAAATAACGCCATCGTGCAAATGGCCTATTACGTGTCTCCAAATATTATTAAGAGGAGTAGGTAATCACGTGACCGTACTCCGACCGACCGCCCGAGCGTCGGTCCGCACCACAGGGTAACCAATGTTTAATCTCACACTTTCTAGCTAGTTTGGGAGTCCAGGTGCAACCTGATATTGCACATCCATGTTGTGATCAATTGACAGCTGTCAAAACAGGGTATCCACTGACCAGTATCACCTGATCGTATCGCGGCTCACGTTTGACCCATCGAGGTCAAGTACTTTTTGAAGTTATCCGCTGGCAAGTTAGTAGTTTTCAAGCGATCGCAGGCTCTAGTTCATTTTTTAAAAAAATGCATAGGAAATACGTTGTGTTTATGAGCTGCACTATTACAGTGTAACATGCTATCACTCGTTCTTGAAAATTGAGCGCGCAGCATTCTAATTGTAGACACAACATGTAAGCTGAGTAACCAACATTCAACTTGAAAAACCAAAAACCAACTTTGAAATTTCAGTCTTCATTTTGGGGGCCTCTTTTTATTTCATTGTAATTATGACATTAAAGAGATACATATTTCCTCTAAATTCTATTCGGAGTTACTTCAATGGTGGTCTGAGTTTCGTAGTGTTTTCGATAGTAGAAGGGAATGTCAATATATCTTGTGGAATAACAAAGAGATACGCTTTGATAATAAGCCTGTTTTCTATAAAAAAATAAAAAAAAAAAAACTTTTTGAACAAGATTTCATTTTCGTAAATGATCTTTTGTTGGAATTAGAAACTAAAAGTTCTTTTACTATTACTTCGAATAAAATTAGCAATTTAACTACCTAATTTGGGCAGGGCTTCGTCACTCTGTTCCGAAACATCATGTAAAGAATAGCAATTGTCTTCGCTCAGAACTAAGCTTAACACTGACAATCGATAATAAAGAATTTGATATATTGGAAAAGAAATGTAAAGGTTTTGACTGAGCAAATGTGATTTTTGCTACTTGTATTTGATACTGAGAGGTCGTGGCACGCATGTTGATTTTCTGCGGTTTATTACTGTTTCTGGTCGGCATTATTTGCCCTCTGAAGCAAGAGCGTTCTCTTTGACCTCGCTTTGAAATGTAAAGCTCTTTATGCGGCTAAATGATGGTTTCAGGTTGTTTAAGTTTCTCCAAAGTGCCTCCTGGATCTGAATAACTATAAGCGATTTTATTTTTGTCCCTAAATGTGACGGTTTCCTGCAATGTTTTGTCATGCTGGGCCCAGCTCGATCGTTAGCGTCTTTAGCAGGATGAAAAATTGTCACGAATAGTGATCAGATCTCGAAGAATGGATTGCAGCTGAAACTAAAGCTACATCAACTATGGAGAATTGCGATGTGTCTCAGTCTTGATTGCTCTTAAAGCAATGATTTTAAAACTTCAGCTTGTTTTCTAAGGATAATGTGAGGCTTTGGACCTGTTCTGCCTGTTGGACTGGAGCTCGTAGTTCCTTCCTTGATTATAACTTTTGAATTGGCTTTTTTAATAACACTATTAACAGTCTTTAACGTTGTTGAGCTCCTTGTTGCCCATATTGATTTAGGAGAACTTAATGAAAATGTTCCTCTAAATATCTTTTCCAAAGTGGCTGGCAACAGACGCCGCTATCTAGGTTGTGCAAAAGGAGGGAATAGGGATCGAGACCGGAGACTGGAAACAACAAACCCCTTGTGGTTGGCCTGTTACGTCAGCCTTTGACGTAAGATACATTTTGGCGGACAACGCTGTCCGTGCAACGAGGTCAAGATTTTGCAACGATGAGGCTTAATCCGTGACGGCAATTATTCACTACCCATTGCGTCTGATACGAGTTTAATATCGTTTTAACATCGGACTATCAAAAAAGATGATCAGACTTATATATAACGCCGAGTACTGAATACCGAACTGAATTACAAAGTTGTTGGTTTTTGGTTTCTCAAGTTGAATGTTGGTTGCAGTCAACTTACATGCATGTTGGGTATAGAAGTAGAATGCTGCGCGCTTAATTTTCCAGAACGAATGATCATGTTAAATGTTGGTAGTTAGTTGAATTATCAACTTTGAATGTTGAAATGTGAAGTTGAAAGTTGGGGGTTGTAACTTGATGTTAGCTACTCAAGTTGAGTTTCGGCGGGGATTGAACACCATACTCATCTATGCTCATAGAGGCTCTTTACTCTGCTAAGACAATTCAGTCCTATTTCTTGGCATTTAAATTAATTAAGAATAAATGACATTGCCAATGACAACATTGGCTGCTTTAAAAAGGTAAAAACAAAAAACAATAATAGCATAAAATAGTATTACTGACTAAATAGCTTCAATCTCATAGAAGGATAAAGTGGCCAAGCTTGCAAACAAAAGGATCTATATTATTAAAGAGAGAGCTAGTAGAGAGTGTCATACTGAGGAAAATACTGATCTGTGCTCAGTAAGAGAAAACAAGGATATTTTACAGGGAAGGCAAACTCTTTATAGCTACCTAAAAACGTTAATTTATAGCTTACCTGTGCCTGTCTATCTGTGTTTAATCGTTTTGGAGGGGATTTCCACTATCGCGAATAAGGTTTCTCCGTTTGATCAGTTCAAAACAAATCAATTCAGACGCGTTGGGACCTGAGGACGACCAATATTGTTTCCATGAATTTAACGAATATCTTAACAGTTTGAATCCGCAGAAACAGTTGCTAAAGGAAGTTGAAGATGGGGCCGGGGCAAATATCTTTCCTAGACACCCTATTATTCATGTGAAGGACGAGGGTGGCAGCAAACGGCATATAATAGAAAACAACGCAATACCCACATGAATTTGTCAGATTTGAATTTTCTGTCGAGCTACTTACTAAAAACTCCAGTTAACCTGCCGTTATTTGTTAAACGGCCCCGCAGCAGTTAAATTGGTCCCTAAGGAGAGTCAAAATATAGGAACGCCAGAACAATAAATGGGCTCTACTCGCTACTGCTATACAAGGTGGCCTTGAGAGATTCGTAAGAATTCCTACAGGGATAAGTTCTAGCAACCGAAAACACTCCCTTGTAGCAAATTCCTAACATGGAACTACGCTACCAACAAAAAATTCCTTCTGGTCATCATAACGACAAAACCAGTCGTGCTATGGTTAACCGCTGTTGGTCCTTTAACACCTCATTTTGTAGTTGAAACTTCTGCTATTGATACTGCGAAAGCTCCAGATATAATAATTTGTACACGTTAGTTGCTAATCACCTTTTTTGTCATGAGTGGCGTTACTTTCATTGAAAATATCATGAAAGAGATGGTAGCTTTCTTTCTCAGCAAAGGTATAGTAAAAGGCGGAGAGCTGATTATTTATTTATTTATTTATTTATTTTTTGCTGTGACTTATTTTTGTTGGTCTGTTGATGTTTTTGTTGTGATTGTTGTTGTTGTGTTTGTTTGTTTGTTTTTTTGCTTTCTTTGTTTTATGTTGCCGCCCGGTTTCAAGCAGGCACTTCATAATAAACCTCCAACTCATCTGGGCGGAAATGACTCCCGTATCGTGATCCAACCCAGAGATAATTGTCGCAATAGGGACTGCTGTACGAGTGACAACTAAAGTAAGAGTTGGTATTTCCTCCCGCATTGTCCGCAATATACATATCATGGCACCCACCAAACATTGGACCATAATTATATTGGCTGTAAGTGGCGCTGCCATAGTAGCCGTTGGTTATGTCCTGTTTGAAGTATCCATACCCTTTGTAGTTTTTCAGTGAGTACAAGAAGGTATTTGTCGAATATTGATAACCAGCAGACCCTGAAGAGACAAAAAACAGAACACAAACAATTAGAGATTCAGTGTAACTCAGTCGAGTTCAATAGACCATTTTACAATTATGGATGGAAACGAGGCTGGAGTGGACCTTGCTTTTATACAACCATTTCTGCTTTCTTAATATGTAAATCGCTCTTTTTTTTATTCTAACTAGTACTTTTTAAGTATAATTTCCATAAGAAAACAAAGGAGGTTTGTATCAAAACATGGTTATGCTCTAAGGTAAAAAAGGCGCTTCATTGTACCTAAATGCAAGACCGATCGTTTTAGGAATAGTTTTATTATTAGATCCTGTACGTAGATTTTTAAACTTTTTATCACATTTTTCACACTTTTTTTACTGTAATTAGTTTTATATACAAATTTTATCAATTGCATCATTGTAAATACGCAATTCTGCCTTTGGGCTGCAAAGTATTGGTAATTAAACTATCTAACTATCTGTCTATCATGGTCAACCTCAGTCTTGCACTCATGATCACTCAAAGTCTAGGATACTAAGCCCAGAGCTATAAAATGGTGTATTGTTAGGAAACGGGGGTGGGTTAGTAAATACTGAGAGCAGGGAGGTAGTATACAATGTGTGAAATACCACATAAATCACGCTCAAATCCTCATGAATTGGAGCATCACAAGTTGCCATCAACTTCGTCCCCAGGGCTTTTCCATTAGAAATTTAACAGAAACGGTGGTTAACCTCTCTCAGATTTCAAGAAAAAATACCTGGTAGAACCAGCTGCAGTACAGCAGTATTAAGCCCGACCTTCACCACTAAGCCCCATACCCCACCTCAAACGCGCTTGTTAAAAATAAATAAATAAATAAATAAATTATAAACCCGAGGACTCAGCACAGTTTTTTGGTGGCACGTTCGAAGCGTTTTAAGCCGAACAAACATTTATTTTTCTAGATTTGGATACGTCTAATCCCCGTTCCTAGAAGAAAACGCACGGCCAAGCAGTCGTACAAGGAGGAGCAGTTCTTGCTTCAGCAATGTCGTGACTTTGGATTAGATTGTCAGGTTGCGAGTATTTGATTAAACTCTTACCACAAAATCCTCCAATTAGCAGTATTGCGAGTGATTAATGACAATCTAGTTAACACTAGACTTGTTTTGAACTATTTGCGAAAATTGTAAAGGCCCAGTCTCTCCTTCCTTTTACGTTTGGGGTTAATAACCCCTAGTTTTAATTCAGTCTAGCTGGTCGATACCTTCTTCGTATCCTAGCTATTTCAAAGACTTACACTGCCATGAATTGTCGTTGTAGCCTCCAAAAATATAGATCCCGACCCTAACAATTGTTACAGTGGGTCCTTTGTTATCGCAATAGCTGTGAAAGGTCCGTGACCTCCAGCCATGATTAGAGGCCCTATAACACAGCTTCCAATAACTTGTGTCTGGACTTTGCAAGTGCGGAAGAAGCCAGGTATTTAACTGCGATATCTTGCTGGCATCGTTCGCTAAAATTACGGAGTCATCAAGACCACCTGGCAACAAAAAGTAAATCAGAAATTCCTCCTTTTAAAAGATGCTGTATTTCGGAAACTGACAACGACTCCAATATTTGCCATACCTAAAAAAAACCACTTGACTAATTAAAAATATCGGCGGGGTTAGCCTAAAATACACTCAAAATTAAAGTACCCAAGAAATTCAGAAGCACTCATTAAGAGTATATTCTTGAACAAGAGTATAGTCAAGATAATCGACAGGCAGGTGAGGGGTTGCTATTTGGCGACATAAATATTGGTCGATAGCTTTTCCACAAAATAGAAGTTAACAGTTGTCAGAGTAGTGGTAAAACAAAAAGAACAAACTGAAGTAAAACATATAATTCGGCTTACGATGAGGAGTGCATGTTTTCCCGTCACCAATGTAATGTGCATTCACGTCGCACTTGCAAGTAAATGAGCCTTCTGTGTTAGTGCAGATTGCATGGGAGTGACAGTCATGGGTGTTGAGCGAGCATTCATCAACATCTGGAAGATAAGAAGACTTTTATTTATATATTTTAAGCTGGACCTTCTTTTTTGTCAACAAATGTCATAGTCATAGGAGTGACTGACTTTTCAAGACCTAACAAGAACAGTAGTAGACCGCTCAGAAGAGATGTATTTCAATTCTGTGCATGTAAATAGTGGCAAATTCAGATCTGCAAGTAAGTAGAGGGCTCGGCGGAGAAAATTATTTTTCCTATTCCCTAGGGGCTTCAGTTCAGCCTAAAAATAAGGAGGGGGGACGGGCCGTTGCTGAAAATGTATGTTTGGAATATACGAAACGTCAAGTTAAAGTCTTTTTTCTACCGTTTATATTTCCTTATGTTTATCACCGCAGTTTGCTTTTTGTTTCTTCTTAAACGACATCAGTAGAAGAAGAGGAAGAACAAGAACGAGAAGAACAAGAAGAACAACGAAGGGGGAAACATTACCGTTTACTGGGTTAACTTTTTATAATGGACCTCCACACAACAGGTCAGTTAGTTACGACAAACTTGAAAATAAAAATGAAAAATTCTACAACTTCCATAAATGTCTGACAGGATCTGAAAACCTTAAAATGTGCTAATGAGGCGTTGTCTTAATTGGTAAACTTATCCTGCAGTGTTTTTCTGAACGTTGCGAAGGAAACTATGTCTCTATATATGATTGACCTAATTTATTCTAATATATAGATTTACCCAGGGCTAAAAGCGAAGCTCCTATATATGAACTCAAATTTATGATTTAAATCAAACAATAAACTTGTTTTCCACAATTCAGTTAACTTTTGAGCGCATTCATGTGACTTTTGAGGGAAAGGTTAAGTGATTTTAGAGAGAAGTAATTTGCAAACAGTCCAAGCTAAGAGTGAACTTAATCTTACATCGAGTTGATAACCTTATATGTACACCCAAAAAATAGGAATCATCTTTGATCACATTTAAGAGCGCGGGCTCTAGATTAGGCCTGAAAAACAAATTTTTGGAAAACAAATCAGGCCGAATTTTTTGCGTTCGACAAGTTTACTTTACAAAATCTTGCCAAAAAGTCTGGGGACGTGTAACCCAACCTTTTATACCTCTTATACATCACATCTGAGGTGAAACAGTACCATGAGGCGCTGTTTTTATCATACAGACCTCGGACAGAATGCAGTATTTCACAATTTTGTAATGCAAATTGCACACACTCAATATTCAGGGCGATCGAAGCACGTGTGGGCTTTTAGCGAAACCGTTAAAAAAATTTCCAAAATCACCTATACGGCTAGCCGGTTGTCACTTTTCACAAGCGCCAAAGTCGACTGTTTAAATTATGATTAATAGAGTTATACGCTTCAACATAATAAAGAATTTATTATGTTTATTTTTATTTAGTGGTTTTATAACGATGTGTAATCGTCAAAAGCGTTTGATACGCGCGGTATTTTGACTACTCCTGCATGCAAGCGATGTTCATGAGCGACTGAAAACAAAAGGCACAGCGATAAAAATTGCAAAAGAGACTACTAACAATCAATAAAAGGAAAATAATTCGGTGAAACATATACAGAGACAACAATTTTCATTCACGAAGACAAGTATTAAAGTGTCTCTGAAAGCCTTCTTTATTTTTTTCATTTTGTAAGCCGGCTTGCCGGTGTGTGCTTTTTCAAAGATGAACTCGAGGCAAGAAAATCGCTCAAAGCTTTCTTTTACAGCCAGAATTATAACTAAATATTCTTTGGAACGTTTTCTTTCTATTTGCGGTGAGAAAATGTCTAAAGGCTTTTTAAAGTTCTATAGGCTCATAGTCAAACCAGATACTCGGTCAGATCATTGTCTCAAATCTTACAATTAAAAACGTGCATAAACTAAATAGCCGCATAAACTACGCACGACTTCATTAAATTAGATGTAAAAAACAAACGTCAAATACAATAATTACTCAGGCTTACCATTCGAGATGCACTGAAAACTATCGAGTAAGGCCAGAATCGCTTTAGACTTTTCAACCCTCTTACGCACCAAGCAAGGTGAAAAACGAAAACGATGCCATCCGAAATCGGATTTCCGACTTTGACAAGCGACGTATTTCTCAACCAAAAACCCAACAAACAAACTAGCTATGAATAACAGAAGACTCTTGATAGTAGCAGAATTTCATTTTGTAGTCAAAAGCAACTGACATGTCTTCCCTGCCTGTAAAAACTTGCCGAATTTTAGCTTCCGAGGTCAGTTTGAAATCAAAATATTAATTGTGCGACACAAATAAAATACAACATATTTCATATTGATTAAAAAAATTAAAGTTGAGCCCGCGATCATTTGAAAACTGGTGACTTGTCAGCCGATAACTTCAAAAAGATACTCGACCTTGATGGGTCGACACCTGAGCCCGCGATACGGTCAGGTGATACTGGTCAGCGGATACCCTGCTTTGACAGCTGTCAATTGATCACAACATTGATGTACAATATGTGTGCAATATCAGTCTTCCTGTGCTAACAAACTAGCTAGAAAGTGTGAGATTGAACATTGGTTTTCCTGTGGTGCGGACGGACGGGCGGGCTGCGGGCGTCGTACGGTCACGTGATTACCAAATTTTCTCGGATGGGTAGATTTACTTACCCATGGTGCTCCGCAGGCGCGCTTCGCGCGCCAGAGCTCCGCTATAAACGACAAGCAGTTGCGAACTTCCTACGCTAAGTCCTGAGTTTCTTTAACAGAGAGGTGGCAGAACGTTGTTATTGGCGGCGGATCTAGTACCATGAGCATGTGAAGAACAGACATGCTTGAAAAAGGACGTGAAATAATCAGGACGATGATCTTGACTCACTTTGTGTTCGAGAAGTTTCCTTATAAGTATGATGTCGCGTATTAGCAGCCAACCTAATCTATCGAAAAGCTTTACAGAGCTGTCGTTTACAGTATTCAGTATTTATTCAAAGGCTCGTACCTCGACAGGTTCGTCCATCCCCCGTGAAGCCGCTGTTACATGTGCACGTGTAGGATCCATCTGCATTGTAACATGTCGCACTGCTGTCACACTGGTGACCTGAAGAGCATTCGTCGACATCTGAAGTAAAGAAAATTACTCTTTAGGAATGTTTCAAGGAATTCAAAGTACCGTAGGATTTGAAGCTTCTGGGATGGTGGCCCCATCAGTATACAAAAAAAGCCTCAAATAATGAATCCCCAAAAGCTTTAGCCTGCGTAACAAGCGACCCCCTCGGGCCTGTCGAGAAAGTTGAAATCAGAGCAATAAGCTATGCAGTCTACAAGAGCTTAGATTTTGAAATTGCAAGAAAATACAACAACCGTACATACATGTTCTTATTCTATGAACTTTAGTTCTCTTTTTGGGCTGTATTTAAGGTTATAGTATGATCTGTATACCTATGAACTATAAAATAAGGATAATTAAAAAACTTCATTGCTGTTATTCATAGAGATTGGGAAATAATGTGCAAATTTTATCATCTCTGAAATTGAAAAAAAAAGTTGCTGTGAAGACTTCCCTCCTAATTTTTTCCAGCCTATATTTAAACGCTTATTTCACTACTATTACACGCTGCTCATTATTTAAAACCCCTCTAAAGAGTTCTTTGAAAAAAAAGTTTTCACGCAATTTTACGGTGAAAGCAGGCTTATTCTACCTTATTCTAGCTAGCCTTAAACTCACAAGAGATGTCTGTTTACCATTGGATGAGTTTCCTTTGATAATTATGCTTCATGAATTAAACGAAAAACTACAACTTGGGGCTTCGAACATAATACCTCTGCAAAGCAAGCCATCACCAGTATATCCTACGGAGTACCGGCAGCTATAGGAGCCAATAGTGTTTGTGCAGATGGCGTTCTGATGACAATGGTTATTGTTTCCTCCACATTCATCGAAATCTAATTTTAAAAACAAACATAAAACAATCGTTTAGTCAATCAACCAGCAAAAAAAATAATGAAACGATCGATTGTCAATTGACTTTTTTAACAAAAGAATAAAAATTAAAATAATTGCTCATATGAGTCAATCAGCACGAAAACTGTTGTGTATGAAGGGATAATGCAGTGCTAAAAGCGTCAGATTATGGATCCTTTTTGTGACGTCTAATTTTCTTTTTCGCAAAAGTAGCACCTATTTTTCTAGACTAATCCTTTAATTTATACTATTTCTGCAACAAACAGATTTACAGTAGACTCAAACTTTTTTGTCACCTAAGAAGCCAAAGAAATGGGCCACTTGCACGATGACGCTTTTTTACTACTAGGACCAGAATTCATTTCGTTTTTTCTTTCATATTTAAATTTGCTAATCCCAGTAAGGTTTAAATTACAAAAGCGGTAATTTGCATAAGAAAACAATACCCTGAAGGATTCTGGTAGTAGTAGTAAAATGACGTCATCGTGCAAATGGCCTATTGGTTATTGAGGTGTAAATTGGTGAAAGTCAATTAGGATCTTCTCTGAAAATACAAATAAAATACATAAAACTAACTCTTAATGCCTCGAAACGTTAAAGTAGACCATTTTCGATTTCCACCCACACTTTCAAAAAACCCACACTTTCAAAATGAGGTCAAGAGCAAACCCTTTCATGAAGAAGTAGTTTTATAATCTCTTTTTGAAGCAGGCTTGGCCAAATCGGAAATTGCTTTTGAATAGAAACTAATGAATAATAATAGTAACAGTAATAATAATAATAATAATAATAATAATAATAATAATAATAATAATGTTGCAAACTTATAGATGTATCGCTAGCATCCGACCGAAACACCGCAACGAAAGTCATTGAAAAGCTTTCAAAATACAAAGAGCTTGAGATTGAAACCACGAGAATGTGGGAATAAGAAGAGAGACTGTGCCAGTTATTGTTGGTGCGCTGGGACTTATTAGAGAGGGAATGGACTGGAACTTAGGTAAGATCCCTGGAGCCAGTTACAATAATGAGCTGCAAAAGATCATCCTCCAAGGAATGGCGCACATACTGAGAAAGTTTCTGTTCACTAAATAAAAAACTCCCCTGGTAACTCAGGACCAAGGATTGGCCCCGGTTCTAGGAGAGTGTAGGAAGCAATTAATAACATTGAATAATAATAATAATAATAATAATAATAACGAGGTTGTATGACTGCCAGAAAAAGCACACGGATATGACGGGTGAGGTAACGTGTGCTGGCTATGTAATAAGGCCCCTGAAAGTGTCGCCCATGTCCTGGCTGGTTGTACTGCCCTTGCACAGAACAAGTACATTACCCGACACAATGCAGCCCTGAAGATACTTTTCTTCGAGATTTTACAAGACCTAGGTCTTGTCAGAGATTCGGTGCCACCTTGGTACTCGCCACTGAAACCGAAGCCAGTGTACGAGGCGAACAATCCGCAAGTGTTCTGGGATGTCCCTCTATTTGCGGAGCACCAAGAAGTTGAAGCCAACAGATTTCATGCTCACCGGGAGTTATCAACCACGAGTCCGGCAAAGCAAGTTATAACGCTTGAGGTGAGCTGCTCATGGGTTACAAGCCGGGAGAAAAAGGAGGAGAAGAAAATCACGAAATACGGACTGCTCCGTTGGGACCGGAGTTAAAGCAGAAGTACCAAGGATATGAAGTGAAACAATATAATAACATAATGAACATGTTAGGGGGTGGTGCCGAGACTTAGAAGTCAAGCTGAAGCAGTTGGTCGAAAGTAAGGGTAAGGGAGTTTTTTATATAACATACAGAATTCTGTACTCTCGGGAACACTAAACATCTTTAGAATGTTTAAAGTTGCAACATGAACAATGAAATTATTAACTCTCTTCCTTCAACGTCTTTTGGACTTTTGTAGGTATGAAGAAGTCGTCAATGAATTTTGTTACAGCCGAATAAGTAATTTATTTAAGAGAACTTTAAAGACTTTCTAAGTATCATTTTAGATCCTAGATATCTTAAATAGTTTTATCATTTTATTTAAATTTATTTTTATTTTTATTTTATTTTTTTTTGGAGCATTATTTATAGTGCTTTGTTTTATTATTGTATATGTATATTTTAAAATTTTACACTAAGTTCTCACTATAGTAAACGGGTTACGCTCACGCGTCCCGTCACACTATTTTAACTGTATATAGCATACAAAAGTTGGTATATAAAAGAGGTAAGTCATCCACAAACCTTCTGAACAGGTATAGTTATGGCAAGTACCACAGCTTACATCGTTCCACATAAAACTATGTCTGACTCCCAAAGTGTGAACGCAATCTTCATTGTTGAAGTTGTTTGGTTGGTTATTCGCCCAATATGAAAAGTTACTGGTTTGATTATCTGCCCAGTCGAAAGTACCCTCAATTGCCCTATCGTTTAGACCAATCCAGCCCTTGGCACCATTCAGCCGATGCTGAATATAGACGTTTTCTTCTTGATTACGCACAGTGATGAGGTTGCCGCTGTATGCTTGGCAGGTTTTCTCAGCTTCAGTCCAATTTTTGCACGAATGGCTTGTCGAGTAACAAATACCATTAAAATATGACCAGCTCGGTTTACATACATCTGCAATATACGAAACATTTTGGGTTAAGTAAATAGTGCGTAACAAAGAGAAAAAAAGACCTAGGCCAAACGTCGTAACTTTTCATGAGACGAACCAAACCGTGACCAAACTTAGTGAGTTAAGTTCATGAAACGTTCTTAGCGACGTCTGGCTCAGTTAAGTTCGTCTGAATGAGTTTGGATCGTCCAACACGTTCAAACGGACAGAGGGTCCGAAGTTCGTCTCCGGGACAAACGTCGATCTTCACATGTGACGAACTAAACTAATAAACTTAAAAAAATTGTTCGATAATGTATATAAAATTGTTCGGGAGAAAATAATTTTATTACTTATCTGATTCAGTTGATTGATTGGACGCGTCCTGTAAAAATCGACGTCTGACCCAGCAGCCGATCTTAACTCAAGTTAGGTCGACTCAAATTAGAGTTTGGCTCCTTCCATGAAAAAAGTTCAAGCTGACCGAGAAGTTTTTGGAAACGGAAACCGTTACTTGATCTTACTTGTAGTAAGTAGACACTGAGAAAATACATTTACTGGTGATTACTTAACACTACGAGCCTCAGCGCTCCGGAAGTTAAAAAATTCGTACCGTCTGGTTGCTATGAAGTGACGTAATCATCCAGTTGAGTATCCATCAGCGTAACACTTTTGCGGTCAACTACCACAGCGCTCGTAAAGTACTTTAATTAAAACCGTGTTCAAAACCCTGTAGGAAGTCTGTTTATTTTTGAGTCGATTAATGCACTGCTGACTTTCACGAGGTCAACTTTTGCATAAATTATCAAACATTATGTTAAGCGGGAACTCTACCTATGGTTCGCGGGAGAAGCAACTTCTACAGCGGTGCAAGACAAATGTTTCGAGAGTCGAGGATGTGCTCACAAACTATTCACTATGCGACGAAAGGAGAAATCACTGGCATGAAAGCTGCATGTAATGGTAATTTTATCAATCCAGGTCGCGCCGTGTTCGCTCGAGAACGCCGTGACAACCTCGTTTGGCGCCCTTCTCAATACTTCCAAAACATGTTGTAATCGGTAAGTAGACTTAAGCACTTAGTATCGCCAAGCCATTCGAATCAGTGTATACCCAATTCTTTGTCTGAAGAATCTCGCAAACACATATACCAAGTAAATCTGGATGGAAGAGGAAATTGTCTCCCTAAACGCAGCCAGGTTATATTTTGAAGGATGGCGGCACAATTCAACGCGTCTTCCAGGTCAGCCCTAATTTATAGTTCGTAAGAGTATAAATTGCGATCTCCCTATTTTCGCTTAAGCTTTCTTTGATAAAACTTCAGTAGAAGCAAAACAACGCAGACATGACATTCTCCTGCATAAGACACAATCGGCTGAAGGAAATATCTGTGTACAAGTCGGGTAAATTATTAAGCCTGAGCGCTTCTAAGAATAACACGTTTAGAACTTCGACGCGTAGAAAAAAAAGGCAGTTGTTCTATATCCTTTCTGGTTCATCCAGATAGAAGTCCTGGCATATTATTATGCCTGAGCGCTTCTAGGATATATAACACGTCTAGCATTTCGACCCGTAGCCGTAAAAAAAAATTAGGCATTTGTTCTATATCCTTTCTGGTTCATCCAGGTAGAAGTCCTGGCATATTATTATGCCTGAGCGCTTCTAGGATACATAACACGTTTAGCATTTCAACCCGTAGCCGTAAAAACAATTAGGCAGTTGTTCTATATCCTTTCTGTTCCATCCAGGTAGAAGTCCTGGCATGATATCATTATGCCTGAGCGCTTCTAGGATATATAACACGTTTAGCATTTCAACCCGTAGCCGTAAAAAACAATTAGGTAGTTGTTCTATATCCTTTCTGGTTCATCCAGGTAGAAGTCCTGGCATGATATCATTATGCCTGAGCGCTTCTAGGATATATAACACGTTTAGCATTTCAACCCGTAGCCGTAAAAAAAAATTTAGGCAGTTGTTCTATATCCTTTCTGGTTCATCCAGGTAGAGGTCCTGGCATGTTATAATTATGCCTGAGCGCTTCTAGGATATATAACACGTTTAGCATTTCAACCCGTAGCCGTAAAAAAAAATTAGGCAGTTGTTCTATATCCTTTCTGGTTCATCCAGGTAGAAGCCCTGGCATATTATTATGCCTGAGCGCTTCTAGGATATATAACACGTTTAGCATTTCGACCCGTAGCCGTAAAAAAAAATTAGGCATTTGTTCTATATCCTTTCTGGTTCATCCAGGTAGAAGTCCTGGCATATTATTATGCCTGAGCGCTTCTAGGATACATAACACGTTTAGCATTTCAACCCGTAGCCGTAAAAACAATTAGGCAGTTGTTCTATATCCTTTCTGTTTCATCCAGGTAGAAGTCCTGGCATGATATCATTATGCCTGAGCGCTTCTAGGATATATAACACGTTTAGCATTTCAACCCGTAGCCGTAAAAAACAATTAGGTAGTTGTTCTATATCCTTTCTGGTTCATCCAGGTAGAAGTCCTGGCATGATATCATTATGCCTGAGCGCTTCTAGGATATATAACACGTTTAGCATTTCAACCCGTAGCCGTAAAAAAAAATTTAGGCAGTTGTTCTATATCCTTTCTGGTTCATCCAGGTAGAGGTCCTGGCATGTTATTATTATGCCTGAGCGCTTCTAGGATATATAACACGTTTAGCATTTCAACCCGTAGCCGTAAAAAAAATTAGGCAGTTGTTCTATATCCTTTCTGGTTCATCCAGGTAGAAGTCCTGGCATGATATAATTATGCCTGAGCGCTTCTAGGATATATAACACGTTTAGCATTTCGACCCGTAGCCGTAAAAAAAAAAAATTTGGCAGTTGTCCTATATCCTTTCTGGTTCACCCAGGTAGAAGTCCTGGCATATTATTATGCCTGAGCGCTTCTAGGATATATAACACGTTTAGCATTTCAACCCGTAACCGTAAAAAACAATTAGGTAGTTGTTCTATATCCCTTCTGGTTCATCCAGGTAGAAGTCCTGGCATGATATAATTATGCCTGAGCGCTTCTAGGATATATAACACGTTTAGCATTTCGACCCGTAGCCGTAAAAAACAATTTAGGCAGTTGTTCTATATCCTTTCTGGTTCATCCAGGTAGAAGTCCTGGCATGATATCATTATGCCTGAGCGCCTCTAGGATATATAACACGTTTAGCATTTCAACCCGTAGTCGTAAAAAACAATTAGGTAGTTGTTCTATATCCTTTCTGGTTCATCCAGGTAGAAGTCCTGGCATGATATCATTATGCCTGAGCGCTTCTAGGATATATAACACGTTTAGCATTTCAACCCGTAGCCGTAAAAAAAAATTTAGGCAGTTGTTCTATATCCTTTCTGGTTCATCCAGGTAGAGGTCCTGGCATGTTATTATTATGCCTGAGCGCTTCTAGGATATATAACACGTTTAGCATTTCAACCCGTAGCCGTAAAAAAAAATTAGGCAGTTGTTCTATATCCTTTCTGGTTCATCCAGGTAGAAGCCCTGGCATATTATTATGCCTGAGCGCTTCTAGGATATATAACACGTTTAGCATTTCAACCCGTAGCCGTAAAAAAAAAAATAAATTAGGCAGTTGTTCTATATCCTTTCTGGTTCACCCAGGTAGAAGTCCTGGCATATTATTATGCCTGAGCGCTTCTAGGATATATAACACGTTTAGCATTTCAACCCGTAGCCGTAAAAAACAATTAGGTAGTTGTTCTATATCCTTTCTGGTTCATCCAGGTAGAAGTCCTGGCATGATATAATTATGCCTGAGCGCTTCTAGGATATATAACACGTTTAGCATTTCAACCCGTAGCCGTAAAAAACAATTAGGTAGTTGTTCTATATCCTTTCTGGTTCATCCAGGTAGAAGTCCTGGCATATTATTATGCCTGAGCGCTTCTAGGATATATAACACGTTTAGCATTTCAACCCGTAGCCGTAAAAAAAAGAATTTAGGCAGTTGTTCTATATCCTTTCTGGTTCATCCAGGTAGAGGTCCTGGCATGTTATTATTATGCCTGAGCGCTTCTAGGATATATAACACGTTTAGCATTTCAACCCGTAGCCGTAAAAAAAATTAGGCAGTTGTTCTATATCCTTTCTGGTTCATCCAGGTAGAAGTCCTGGCATATTATTATGCCTGAGCGCTTCTAGGATATATAACACGTTTAGCATTTCGACCCGTAGCCGTAAAAAGAAAAAAAAAATAGGCAGTTGTTCTATATCCTTTCTGGTTCATCCATGTAGAAGTCCTGGCATATTATTATGCCTGAGCGCTTCTGGGATATATAGAAGCAGTTTGACCCGTAGAAAAAACAAACTCAGCCGTTCATTTTGTAGGAGATATTTAAGCGTTTTTGTCTGTGGTAGCAATGTGATCGACTTTATACGCAGACCTTAATAATAGATTTTTTTCTTTGACGGCACTGAATAATTTTAGCCGAAACCTGAGCCGTACATTTGTTGAATGCTGCGCTTTAATTAAATTTCTCGCCCTAGAATGATGACACGATGGCGCGAAAATTGACGCCTCTATCGTATTAGATGCGAAATATGATCAGAGATAAATTGAATAGTGAATGTTACAAGCTTCTGAGTATCCAGCTGAGTCAGCTAGATAAACAAAATTTTTTTGGTTGCTAAGACGGTGCGGCTCGTTATGGGAGATACGAAACAAGGAGTCTCTAAGTTTACTTGACATCTACCAAAGCTTGCTGGGCATGAGAAGGTCTTCGCAAAGAAAATTTGTCTTTATCATTTACTAACACACCTGCTAATACTGTATAGGACACAGTCACAGGATCATGCTGGTCAGCGAACAACTCCTTGAGACAAATGCGGAATTCGCTGGTCTTGATGTGCTGTAAAATAATAAGCAAATCATCTAGCGTCATATATTTCGCTTAGAAGAACAGTAATAGCTCAACTTTTAGAGACGTTCGTTTAAAAGACTGTAGCTGAGTCACTTTCCTATTTAAAGAAAAAAAGAAATTGGGAAACTGACCTTGAATAACAGATTGACAAATAGATGGAATGTTTCGCTGCGCGACTATGACTGTTAGACGGCAGACTGCATGAACAAACCTTGGTGTAATTTAGCTCATATGCGCATTTGCTACAGGTTGTCAGCTTTATCTTACTTATTTTCAAGAAAATGTGTTGTATATTAGTTAAATAATTTGAGAATACCTCAATCCATGGGGTCACGGACGTATATTGGCTTCAAATTGTTGCCTTCTGAGTTGTGACCGGCTGCTATTAATACTATGGGTTCCTTGTCGTAATTCGTTGCAAATGAGATGTCCTAAGGACATAAAAAGAAGGCTGTTGATATAATGTTTGAAACACCATCCATTTTTATCAATGCATGGTCATATCATTGGTGGCTGGAATTTATCTGCGTTGACTCGAAGGAACAGGTAATTTTTGAGTACCAAAAACAATTCTTTGTTCAAGATAAACTGTCAAAAAACAAGTTCCTTTCATGGCCTGATCTCTTTTCTTTTCAAAGCTCATATGAAATACATGATATGGCAACTAAATGTGAGATCAATCACGGTCGACTTCCTTCGTTTTCACTCCCATTTATTAAGTTGGGATAAAACCTGGAGTTTTACAGCCGTAAATATGATTTAAAATGCATAAATGTTCTTGTTTGATACACGGGGAGGTACTCCTGGGTTTTCTTGGTAGGGATGTGCCGCCCGGTACTCCAAATCCTGACTCTATTTAAGACCAAAAAATGTAATTTTCCACACCCTTTTTCAGACCTGGCCTTTAGGCAGAGATTATGTTATTATTAGTTAGATTGGAGCGCAAACTAAAAAACACTTCAAATCCATTTCGAATTCGCAGTGACTGCGTCGCAGAAGACGAGTGCGTGGGGCAGCTGCAACGCAGGCTAATTTGGAATTGAAACGATAAATACCGTCATACACTCCCGTAGTTCCCTCAAAACCATACCCGATTGCAGATCAAAATGGGCAAAGTGTATATCCGTTTTCACACCTAAACGGCGCAAAAACCCTACCCGATGGGGCGGCACATACTTATATAGCTTATATAAGGGAGTACCCTCTGCTGTTCTATCTAAATAGTTACAGAGCCTCCTTCTGCTTAAAAGCAAAGTGCTTCTTACCTTGCAAAATGCACCATTGTAGCTTGTAGAAACGGAATTGTTGTTTGGAAAATCCACGTGTTTGTTCTCAGCGAAAAGAGGCCTGTGTATTTTTTCAAAGACCATCCAACTCTAAAGAGAAGGATAACAATCATAAATGGATTGCTATCTCATACCTAAATCCCGTGTAGAAATAAGTAAGCTATGTTTCCGAAAAAAGATTTGTAAGTTGTATCCACAATACTTGCGAGATGATCTCATTTCACGTATTTATCATTGATCCTATTCAGACCGGGCTTTTCTTGCTCCAAGTAATTTGACGATGTTTCGCCCGAGTTAGATTTTGAAATATTATGAGTGGTTTTTGGAAGTGTTGTGATGGCATCGAAAGTGATTTTATTGTGTGATTTACCGAAGGTGTTGACAGACAAAACTCAGGTATGTGGTTGGGCTCGTGTTAACAGATTACTTTGTGCCAAGCACAAAAATGCTTCGTTTAGATGATTGTGTCTTAGAAATCCTATTCTGTACTCAAAGATTGTGGCTTCTTAATCTGTGTTCGGCGGCAGACACATAGCTAGGGCCTCAAGGTTTCGCTGACTAAAAGGTTATAATTCCTGGACGTTTCAAATGTTGTTTATTATGTCGCAAAATCCTCTTACTTCTGAGAGAGGAACTTACCGTCTGTTGCCAGCAATAAAGTTGTCAGCTAGTAACTTTTAACTGCTTTCCATTCGACTTAGATATCAAATTGATAAAATGCACTTGAAATTTCTTTAGCCACGTTTTAGCAAACGCCAGATATATTTATAAAGGAGAAAACATATACCACAACGATATCTTCATGTAGACCATCATAATTCTGTAGTTCTCGAAGACAAATGTAAAAGGAAGAACTGGTTGCGTTTTCCACCCACAAACTTGCGGCATCGTGCTTAAAGTCTGCACTTATGTGTTCTGCTGTAACCAGGACTGTTGGTGAAGACGCAAATTTTCCCTGTTAAAAAAAAACGGTCATAACAGTAAGAAAGTTGAATTGGTAATTATTAAGTATGCAGAGCAAAGATGATTGGGAGAATAGCATGTTAAATTAAATTTGGAATAAACAATCTTTCACATGATCGGGACGCTCTTTAAGACATAGGATCGTTGTTAGGTGTCTGAACGCGAGTGTCCAATTTCGCCCTTGACCGTACAAGTTTCTTTCGCCAATTTTTTGTATTAAGTGATACTTTTTTTAAGAATATCTCCCCCTTCTGACAAATGTAAAAAAATGATTTAAAAAAATAGTATAAAAATGGCCCATGTGTCGGAAGGAATTCCGCGGACAGAACAGGGCTGCCTCTTTGCAACTCATGTCTCCAAGTCCAAGTACGATATCTTTGATTGGATAACAACTGGAGTGTTTGGTACTTATAACATCAGCATAGCAAATGTTTATCTTACTGAAAAACTTAACTAAAGATCATTATTTTTTCTGGTTTATGGAACAGAACAAGATGCAGCTGAGAGGTAACAATAAAGTGTTATTGCCTGAGGAAGGCTGACTTTTGAGCACTGTGATCCAGTCCACCATTCTGGAATGCGCGTTTTACCCGCCACACCTCCATCAGGAGCACCTTGGTAGGCCATCCAGTCCACCGTGGCAAATTCTTTGATAAAGCGATCATTTCTTCCTGCTGCAGTCACGCACACCTAAATATTAAATGTAATGGCTAATGTTTAATTTATCTGGTAAGATAATATATAACAATTATTCACTGAAGTGGAGGTTGGCAGTTGTGGTCATTTGCCTAGCCGCGAAGCGGCAGGTAAATCGCCACCACTAGCTGCCGACACTCAGGTGGATAATTGTTTTAGTCAATACTCAAACAGTGAGATAATTGAGCACAAAAATGATGATTTTTAACTCATTTACTGTTGTCAACGATTATAATTTTGGCGCGTAATGACCGAACCGGCGGCCGTCGCGTTTTCTTGCCGACAAATAAAACTCTTGAAGGCATTTGTTTAGCTTTTCCCGGGAAATTTCTTCAAAATGAGTTGTGAATTCTTTTTGTATTAAAACCATTCTGTGAAAACTTATTTGTGAACATATCAGCTAAATAAAGTAACGCAGGAGTTACTTTGCATATGTGAACAAAAGGCTTTTTTTACCGTTTTCATCGATAAAGTCAAGTCAAACAGACAAAGCTTTACCTGTTAAAACTTCCAAACCGAATTTTGTCACCTTCTTCGTGTATTTCAGGAACAACTTGTTTGATTATTTGAGAAATTTCTTTGTTTGTTACGGTAGCAAACCGGGAAGCCATTTCGCTCGAAACTTTTGCGAGTTTGGAGTCGCTCGCTAGGAGGAACTGGAGGTGAATCAGTGAATAGCACTGGATATTCACTGATTGAGTAGCCAATCAGAGCGCGTGAAAAGCACTATCCACTGCTTAAGTATGTACTAAATAGATTTAGCCAAGGCCAAAAGCGAAGCTCTCCTGGTAACTTACTTCATGAAGTAAAGTTTTCAAAGCCTGTGATCTCTTGAATTCTATAACTGGTCAGCGGAGAACTTAAAAAAACCGTCACCTCAATAAGTAGCACACCTGAGCCAGCGATAAAGTCATGTGACACTGGTCTTCGGATGCCCTACTTTGACGGCTGTCAATTGGTTATAACATGGATGGCCAAAATCGAGTTAAACACAATTTGTATATGTTTTGGACTTACAGCTAGTAAGACATTTCACATCCGTTAACATGAAGACGCGGTACTACGTACGTACGCACGATTTTGTTAGTAACCAAAATTTCTTGGATGCATAGATAACCAAATTTTCTTACCCATAGTGTTCCTCTGGGCGCGCAAGACGCGAAATCTCCGCTAGTAACTCGTTGTGAAAATAAAATGTGTTCAAATAGTATTTTACTAACCAGAAATATCACAGGTAAACAAGAGTTCTTGGAGATGTAAAACAAATGAACAGAGGCTCACTAATTACTACTTGAAGTAATACTTGAATTGAAAACTTCCTTTTAAAATATTCACCTCAAAATTCTCGAAGTTAACAGTTTCCACCCAGGACACAGTAGCATCATGTACAAAATTTTTCTCGCTTATGTTCCAGTGATTGGTCGTTATTTGTACGTGCACTTCTTTGTCGGGATAGAATGAAAACGGTGGAAATTTCACTACTTCACAGGCCGTCTCTGCCCACTGTACATGTCTCCTCAGTGAAACTCGTCCAGTCTGAACAGGAAAACCTGTCGAGGAACAACAAGAAAAAGAAAATACAACACAGAAGAAAAACAAAGCTAATTAGAGCTGAAAGCGATAAAATAAAACAAAGAAACAAAGAAACAACAACAGCATAACATAAAGACAGAAAAAGATGCATCCTACAAATACCTGATGAGGATGAGAAAAAAAACGTATAAAATCCTTTCTATATGCGAGGAATTAAATTAAAAGCTGATTGTACAATCACACAATCATATAGTGGCACTATATGATTGGCACTTTGTTGCGTTCAAAACAGTACCAAACTAAGCAAAATAGTATTTAATCATGATTTATTTTGGACCTACAGCTGCACGGAAAATGCCATGTGCTTAAAACGGAAATTCCAAGATGGCGCCCAAGATTGCCGCCAAATTGAGTGATGTTATAAGTCATCAGCGGCACTATATATCTCATAACACTAGAGCTCTGCAATACGCTGGTTAAGGTGGTTTAAAATACCCTATAATCCGCTCTCTTACCTGTACAACTACCGGGATGATAGAGAGCGTGGTTACTCTTGCGCCTGCAAATGTCCAGCAGACAAAAGCACTTGTTCTTAAAAGTTGTCGAGTTGGATGAACACACTGGCTCCTCGTACGACGGACAGTTGTCATCACAAACACAGCGGGCATCAAATGCAGAGAAAGCTTTGCAGATGGCATGGTAATCGCAAGTAACGTTTGTGCACGGGTCTATATCTTTAGGGCAAAAAAAAAAACAACAAGAACAAAATCAGCACTTGTATGAATATCAAATTGACCTGACGTCCTACATCCTTTGAGAGCGCAACTGCGTTTTAATTTTTTTAAATTTTGCTTTGTTTTTCCTGTGGAGAAAATTTATGGCAAAAAAGATAGGAAATAGGGAGTTACTTTTTCTACAAAAGCGTTTGAAAAAGAAACGTCATTTTTTATAACTTTTTTCTTCGACATTTGAACATAGTTTTTTACAGTGCCAATTGCCTGACTTTATTCTTATTCGAATTAATGTTTGACCCAACGTCCAAATGGATTGATAGTAGGACGAACCAGTATGAGAGACAAATCTTTGAAATTAAAGAATAAGCAAATATAAGAGTAATGTACCTCCCACTATTGCATAGTCCACTGTAACTGGATCGTGAGACTTGCTCATTCCCTGACTGTCTTTGATGCACACTTTGAAAGACAAACGAGTGATCTCCCGGAAAATAACATCAAATATATCGATAAATAAAAAGTTTGCATTGATTTGTTAGCTTTCAGACAGGGGCGTCCAGTAAGGGCAATAAGGACAAGGGCAACTTTGAATCGTTTAAACGGACGTACAGTTCTCACGGATATATAGTGGACGCTGCTGTCTGTTACAGTGCGACTACTATAACAGAGGTCACCTAGACAAAGTTGACCAATCGGATTACATGAAAATAACAATACATTCCGAGAAAGTTGGTTGTCAATTTAAAACCATGAACCCACGGAGCTCCCTTTAAGAAGAATCATCAGGTGAAAATGAGTAAGGAAAATGACAATAAGATTGTTGATTCAAGCTATTGCTTGAATTTGTCGTCAAGTGTTAAGTGCCACTTCGAACTTCTTCTTTTATTAGTTATAAGTGCTTTACTCTTTAGCGAAGGCAAGTATTTTAACCAGCAAATATTTGAAACAGTTTCAACTTATTAGGTCTCTTCAAGGCTACTCACCTCAATCCAGACAGTCAAAGCGTTGCTATAGCGACCATCTGCCTTCATTGATAGTTTCCTGGTGCCATTTTCATGGCTGGCAGACGCCAGAATATTGGGCGGTTCGTAGAATGGATTCTCAAACTTATAATCCTAAAAATCAGGATTTACCAAACACAATAATTTTCCCTCTGACTGTTTAAAGAAAGTATATTGTCGCTTTCATCCTTTTGAAAAAAGTGATATTGTCCCAGTTCATTAAGGAAGTGATTAGGCAAACTCTAGGTCTATAAAATATATCTAATAGTGGATGCACCTCCTTACCACGTAGCGGTCAACAAATCTAAATCACAACTCTTGCGAACAACGCATGAGGTTTTAACGAATTATTGATGATCAAGAAGGTCGTATCTCTTGTTGGACTTCAACTCTTATTTCAAAAATGCACAATACGCCGATGTCACAGTGTCCCTTGAAGAAACGACAAATACACAACACAAACATTGATTGTTAACCACGTTGGTTTAAAGGCTTGAGTTTGGAAGTTAAGTCAATAAAAATTGAATGCATCATTAATAGACGTCACATTTTCCAACCTGACAAAAGGCATAATTGTTCTCTTTCTTTGGTGCACCGAGTCCAGAAAAATGAAGGCTTCCTTGCTCAGTAAAATTCCAAGGCTCAGGTAACAAATCATAAGCAAGCCAGTTCTGAAAAGGTGGACGCAAGTAACAGTCACAGCATTGAATGTCTTTCCTTATGGTTTTTTAAGAAAATTTAAGATGAAGGTGGGAACCCTGAGAAAAATTTGTATCTGGAGTCTGAGAAAAAAGCAAAATACCATGACCTAAATTTAACACTATTCTGACCGAGCGTTTTTGGGCTTCCTTGGAATTGGAGGGAAAAGGGGCCTTCGAAGGCCCCTTTGAGAACATTATAACCACTCATGATACAGCCACTAAATTTACGCAAAATAGTGTAATCATCATTCCAACAAGTAGGTGTAATGTGATTGACACAGTAACGTAATTTGACGTCACTAAGATGTCCCCTTGTTGCATTTATTGTCTGAACCCATAGCTTATCAATTGTCCCCGTAGCCATTAAGCAAAAATAATTAAATTACTTAAAAATCACGACGATGGTTGACAATTTGATAATCTTTAACAATGGCAGTGACAACATGATGACGTCACTAGTTGCTGAGACCATATGCCTTTTTGGATCTGCCATTTTGAATTATTTAAATTAATTCCATTTATTCCTGCTAGTTGGCCATTTTAAATTCAATTCATTTTTCCAAGCTAGTCACTAAAAAGCCTAGATCATATTAACAGCTACGTAAATAATGGTAAATTAAGTGTGATATAATAATTCATTAGAAGTAAATCTAGAGATATTCAGCAAGAGTCGCCAAGTTTGATGGTCCTAGCTTGAACGGTTTTAATTTTATTCAACATTAAAGTGTTAGGAGGCCTCAAAGCCAACGGCACCGGGCTGAAGTAAACCCTAAAGTGAACCCTAAAGTTTCATCTCAGAATGGATTAGGGAAATGACGAGGATAGTTTATATGCGCCACTTCAAGAAAACTTTCTTTCTTTTCAAAACACCTGCTGCACATGCGCAGCAGGGGCGATATTTTGTTAAGGCTGAAAAGCCGCTCTTTGAAAGAACCCCGCTCCCTGACCAGCGCCCCTCTCCCCCCTTTTTCACTTCCAGTCCACCCTTTCACCCCTTTCGTCAGGCTGTCTTTGCAAAGCAAATTCAGAGTTTTACGGTTTTAAAACATTTATGGGTTAGGTATAACAATAATTCTTCTAATATAATTTTTAAGTAATTTCTAAGGGGAGGCCAAACTAACCACCAGGTTTTTAATTAGCTTCCATACAATCAGATTTAATTTTAAATTTAATTGATAACAAGGACGAAGAAAAACGTAATAGTCGAAGACTGGGCTAATTTTTTAAAACTCACCACTTTAAGTCCGGTATGGATACCGTCGAAACTCATAAACTCTCTCAAGCAAACAACAAAGCCGTCTGCTTTGACCTCTTCTAGCCAGATGTTCATGGAATCAAAAGGACGGTTAGAATGTTTATGTTGAACGGTTACAAACACTTGAGGTTTTATCTAAAAGAAGAGAAAAAATCACCCAATAAGTACATGTACATACTGAGCTTAAATATTATTATCGTCCTTTGCCCCGAAGAGGACCGGATTAACAGTGCTTAACGTTATGGACTGACGTTATGACAAGCTCATGGCCATTATAGCTTCACAACAATTGTTGATTGGGAAAATAATCAAGTATCGACTTCATTTCGGCTTTGAAGAGTTACTCGGTTTTGCATGCGGCGATTTGCCGGAGTATTAGGAGGAGATTCTTGAACAGCAAACAAAACATAGGAAAAAAACGGACGATTTATATAGTGCTAAACCCTTTTCTTGTTAAAGGGGATATGCCACGATGATATTGCTGCTTTAGGCCACTTCGCAATTCTGTGCTGAAGTAATCACTGTGTCCATTTATCCATGCATTAAATGTTCCTGCAGAGCCATGAAGAAGATATCAAACAACTTTCATCGTGGAGCACTATAACCATTACATTTTTTGGTGATTTTTGGAGGCATAGTATTTAAACAATTTACAAAACAAGGCCATTTTTTTTTAATTTTACTGATGTGAAGTCACGTGCGTTTTCGTTATTTTTGTCCCTTAAGGTCGAAGTTGAGTTATGAGTTTTTCGTGAGTATTGACTTTAAAAGTAACATGGAAGACTAAATGAATGAATTGGATGACGTTGCGAAGTTACCTGTTTCTGAATGCTTAGCGATATCCTCTTGCACTGTGTTCGTGACGTGAATTCATTGAATTCCACGATCCCTGAGTGTATGCCTTGATGCGAACCTTGAAATGCAAGCCAGTTGATCACAGACGTTCCACCAGAGCCACTTCCTGCTTCGCGCACGCAGGCTTCAAAACCTGTTGTTGACACCGACTTCACCCAAAGAGACGCCGGGTCGTGGATTTTAACATATTTGTTTCCGTGACTGAGCGTGGCGAAAACCTTTACATCTCCCGAACCCTGGAATTGAGTTTCGAAAGAAACGGCTTGGCAACCATGGTTGTTTTGGGAAGTGTCGGTAATATTTACCTTCCCAGCTTGAAAGACAGCCCCTTGAATGTAAAAAAAATAATAAAAATAAAAAAAAAAAAGAACTATGATAATGATATACACGATAACGATAACAATGACAATAACAATAACAATAACGATCATGATGATGATGATGATGATGATGACGATGACGATGACGATGACGATGACGATAGACCTGCCAGAAGGGGGTATAGGGGCTACATATATCTTAGTATTTTACAATTAGACCAGATAAAAGGCGAGGTAACAGCGGAATACATCTGAAGAGAAGTTAAGACGGTTGTGTAGATCCAAATTGAATGGCGGAAATCTTATTAGTGCATCAATGTCTAGGCTGTAGGTTTAATACGCTACAGTGCAAGTATCGTGGATTTCATGTTGGAAGGGCTGGTCAGTATGAATAGAAAAACTAGGAAGATATTAGCGGTAAATGGCTATTTACACACAAAACGTAATGTTGCCAGACTGTATCTACCGACAAAAGAAGGGGTGAGGGTTGATTGGTATTGAGGAGTGTTAGAAGGAGAGAAAATTGTTTCATGGCTACCTGAGAGATATCAAGGAGAAGGTGTTTGTTGAAGAAGAGAATCTTCAGGACTACCAGAAAAGAAGGGAAGAGGAGAAAGTCAGGAACGGGAAGCTCGACAAGGAGAATTTGCTACGAAAACTTCAGATGTGGCTGGAGAGGAGTCCTGTGGATGTCTCAGGAATGGTGTTGTTAAAGATGGGAAAAGAAGGCAAAGCAATCCAAAGCAATGCAAAGGCCTGGTTAGAAGATTAAGTTTGCCCGACATTTTTTGAAGTACTCAGTTATCAGCCATCAATTCGTACTGCTCACATTTTGCGGAATGTGCTGTGCCTTTAAGCTGTTGGATGCAGCTGAGAAATGAGAAGACCAAGAAAAACACCAGGGTGCTGGAGAGAATCGCCCAATAATAATGATAATGATGATGATGATGATAATAATAATAATAATTATTATTGTTATTATTATTATAACTGCAATAAATTGATAAATGTTAATCGTGAATTTTTGGTTAAGTATGTATACTTGTTGACCTAACATCAGTTTCAATAAAACCTTTTATATTAATAAATGGGGAAAAGAACTCAAATAAATTCTGAATGCAACAATATTTCTGGACAATATAATATATATATTTTTCTGAATATTTGGTTACCTTTCCCCATTTTGCTGTCCTTCTCATATCACCCTAAAATGATGCGATCCTCTTATTTGGAATTATTTTGCTATGTCATGCAGATTAATTTACTTTAATTTAATTTAATCTATAGGTCTAATCCATCTGGATCAATTACACCCCATAAGTGGTTTAATTACTTCCTTGAAAGCAAAGGTTGAGCTCGGGCCTCACGTCTCTTAGAACGTGCTTTAAGTTTGAGATCGTCGTCGATAAATTCCTTATTGGGTGGGCCCTGGAGACTATTTTGTCAGCTTCATATTTTTGCTTATCCAAGACAAGTAACCCTGAGTAAGGTTTTCGTTGACGCACGTCTTCAGAGACCCAGAGGAAGCACATTTGGACGCGAAACAGGCAAAATTATTGCCGAGAAGGCTTTCAAGAAGTAGGGGAGAGAAGCCTCCCAGTTCCCAGTTTGCTTGGAGGGTTTCACCCATAAATATTCCGCGCCACTAGTTGCTGCCTTTGTACCTCCTAGGATGCGCATGAAAAATTATCTTAGTTCGTAGATAAACAAGTATTATTGGGGTACTCGAGAAAACGATGAAACGTGCAGTCTGCACCAAATTTGTATTGTTCAGATTGCAGTCGATTTTCAACCCCCTTAACAAAATTTGCCAAGAACCATTCTTGTTTGATGAAAATGACCAGAAATTGGTAATTTACCAGGACAATATTCGATGGTCATTAGTAACTTACCACTGGTCAAATATAGCTGCAAAAAAAGCACCTGAGCGGCAAGGAAAGCAAAGAGTGGCTTCGTCATCATTGCCTTAATTCTTTACGGCTGTGTATTGATATTACCTCTCCTCTGTTGCAAATACGTATATGGACACTAGGCATCTCTATTTAAACCTTCTCGGTTTTGGAATGAGGAAGACTTACAGCTGTTATTTAGCACCTATCTCTGCAACGGGGTTAAAGGGTCGTCGCACCATGTGAGCGTTTCAGCGTTTAATCCGCTGGCGATGTCGCCATTCTGAAAAATGATTGGCTGGGGTTATAGAACTACTTACTACAATAGTCCATGAGGATAAACTTCAAGCAACCTTTTATTCAGTATCCGTTGGCTGACCACTTTCTGGAAATAAACAACTATTCATGCGACATTGAATAAAGATGATCGTAAACAGGTACACTAGGTATCACAGATTGTCTTGCTAAAAATAAGGACATTTTCTGTCCTGAAAATACAGGTCACGTAATTTCGAGGTCCTAGAGCATAGAATATATTAGTAATAATAGCCTCAATCAACACAACGGTGCGTGGAAGCTCTGCAGTTGCCAAAATTAAGACACTTAAAAATTATCAGACTTGGAAAAAAAGGAAGACATTCGAGTACATGATTCCGCATTCTCCCGCTTAAACGTGATTAAAGGGAAGTTGATGTTTGTTATCTTAAAAACATACTGACACGTACACCTCTTAATACAAACAGCTATGCTATTGATTTCAAGTCAATTTTCCTTAACAAAGTGCGTAAGTTGCTATTAAAGTTCTAGAAAGGAATTTTCAAGCGATAGAATAGAAATCTCACTGCAAATGGAGCTAAGGCCAAACTGATAGGCTTGTAGAGTTCAGAGGACTTGATGTCCACCTACTCGGAAGTTTCCAACACCTACCGTTACTACAACAACAACCAACCAACCATTTTTTATTTTGCCAAATTAAAAAACGTTTATAAAGAATAGCATACATTAAAATAGATAAGGCAAAAAAGCTACTCAGAATAGCAAACGAAAGCTAAACGAGCTAAGTAGAGACAATATTTAAATTCAGGGCTCGAAATTGCGACTCACTGGTCGCCAATGCGACCAAAAATTGAGCACTGGCGACTAAATTTTCAGAACTGGTCGCCAGCTGGCGACTCGCGTTTTGTCCGATGACTAAAGAAAACCACGACACAACTTTTGTTTTTAAATCTTTATATTTGGAAATCAATCGGATATGGTAGCTAGTATACAACTCACCTTTCCGTCCCCAGTAAAATAATGTCTGAATATTACAAGATAATCGACACGTCGATACTGCGTTCAGGGCGCGCCATATTGTTTCAGCGGCTTCTTCCGAAACTGGGATCGCAGGCGCACTTCAACAACAAAAATGGTGGCAGATACGGTGTCTCCGTAACTCCCGCAACATTTTAGGTTTTATTTTCCTAAAACGTTCTGTCTAAAAGGAAACGAAGACCCAAAAACTGCACTAAGCCCATTTTTGTTTCCTCCCGGTCGGAGACTGGTACGAGCAATGTGGTTGCGTAGAGGCCTGGGCCAAGCATGGCGTTGTTTGTCGGCAGCGAAAGGCGTTGAGGAAAGCAAGTCGAAAATAAAGAACGGCATTTCGTAGAAGTAGCAAAGGGCAAATACACAAGGACCCGTGTTTGTCTCAGAATGAAAACCACGGACTTAAAACGTTTTATGCTTCGCTTCATTTAAAATGACTATGGAGACAACCATCACCTTCGGACCAGAGACATATCACCTGAGAACAACGGTAGCTTTATAACTAAGTGTTACTCGTGTTGTTTCTAATTGTTTTCGCTCTTCAGTTGTGACTTTTCTTGCATGCAAAGTAACGTATAAAATCGTGTTCTTGTGTAAGTTATATATAAAATAAGTTGGCGACCAAAATTTACGATCTGGCGACCAAAATTTTTCCGTTAGTCGCCAGCTGGCTCCCGAACAAAAAAGTTAATTTCGAGCCCTGAAATTACCTTTTATAAGGTTGTGACACACAACCTATAAAAAGGGAGAATATCGTCATAACCGCATGACAACCGCTGACCCCTTCAAGAAGTGATTGGAACTTTTTGTTTGTCTCCTAAGTGGCGTGATTCGGCCGTAAAAATAGTGCATTTGCCTCGTCTCGTGAATGAAAATAAATACACGCGAGCGTTATTTCCTGGTCAAGCAATACGTTTCCATAGTAAAACCAATCTTCGAAAAATCAGGAATATCCAGCTGGCAAATATGCCCATAGGAGAGCTGTTCATGCCGGCACAAAAAGCTATCAACTATAGCTTGAACAGCAACGGCACAGAACTGGAACAAGTCCTTCACACACATCGAACATCGTAACAGAGCGGCTGGCCGTTCTCGTTGTCTAAATCACAATCTTCACTCCTGAATACCTTATAGAGTGTTTTCACATGACGTCACGGCGGCCATATTGAGGTCCTAAATCAATGAAACGGTGGCCATGTTGGTGTCCCAAACCAATCCCTTGGGAGTTGAACTCTTTTCTTATGCAAACGGTTCCTCTGTTCCAATAAATTTGCATAGACGCAGGCCACGTGGGTGAAAACGCTCTATTGGTAAAATTTTGCGATTTTCGCGATTGTACAAAGATCGTGAAATCAAAGACCCTCGAATATTGATCCTCGCCAAATTTAAGTACCCGAGAAATTAGGTACCAATAATGTATTCAGTTCCGTCTCAGTGGGTTCTATTCCTCTTTACGAGTTATTCACTTCCGCTACGGACCAAATACCTTCTCACACCACGCCAGACTGTGGCACAAAACCTATCAGATATGTGTCGCTCCACTTCCGAGATCGGCGCGGCGCTGCTACGCTCCGTTACAGAAATCGCGCCAAAATCACCGTTCTTATGTGTGAACAGAAGCCTGGTATGGTTTTCGTGCCGGTGCAAAAGCCATCCTTTATAGTGTGAACATGCCTAAATTGGGTGCAATGACTTGAAAGTAAAAGGATTGGAATTCAGCCTCAAGTGAAATACGAGTTTTAATTTCTAAAACAATATTTCCATGACAACATCCGACATAATTTCGCACATTTAAGACACGGAGAAAGCATACCATAAACTTCCGACTATAAGCGCCCCCCTCATTTATAGGCCCATCTCCCTGTA